TTGTAGTCACTCCAATCTGCCATCATTTAGTCTGCCAACACTACAACCTTATGCATCAGCTGGACAGCACTGTGAGAGCAGTGCTGCTTACTTCTCGTGGCCTAGTCGATTAAATGATGCATCTGAAGAGAGGGCAAATTATTTTGCAAACCTACAAAAAGGGGTCTTGCCTGAAACTCTTGGACGACTTCCAGAAGGGCAACAAGCAAATTCGTTACTTGAGCTTATGACTATCAGGGCGTTTCACAGCAAAATCCTTCGCTGTTACAGTCTTGGCACAGCTATTGGGTTTCGTATCCGACGAGGCGTTTTGACAGACATTCCTGCAATACTGGTATTTGTATCTAGGAAGGTTCATAAGCAATGGCTAACCCCTATTCAGTGTCTGCCTACTGCCTTGGAGGTGATGGCGTGATACTTATGTTCTCTGCTTCTTTTCAGTGTTTATTCATTATAGTTCGTGAACTCATTGCCTCTCTCTCTCTCTCTCTCACACACACACACACACTCACAGCTGTCCTGATTGTCCGGCTCTTTGTTCTAAAGTTGAAAGGTCGTGTCTCTTCAGGGACCAGGAGGAGTGTGGTGTGATGTGGACGTTGTGGAATTTTCATATTTTGGTGCACCAGAGCCAACACCTAAGGAACAATTGTACACTGAAATAGTAGATGACCTACGGGGAAGTGATCCATGTGTTGGTTCGGGTTCTCAGGTGTGCTCAAGCTCTGTATCCACATGCCAATTTTGTTTACAATTTTTGGCTTCCTTCTTGTTCTCTGTGGGGATAAAAAGGGACATCCTTAAGAGTGTGCTTTTAACTAGATGTTTCCCCTACTATGTTGAATACTATGTTTGAACTTTCCAACGGTTGTTTTTCTCTGCAGTACCTATGCAAGTTAATGAATCCAAACAGCTTTGTGACTAAAATTTTTCTCATTGGACATTTCTGATTTGACAAATCTTTCTTTTTGTTGTTAATATTTAATCTTAGACCTTCATACGTAAAAGAAATGTTGCATCTTGAGCTGCTTCATGATAGTGATGCATTTTGGAGTAATCAGCTCATCATAGACTAGGGAAGGAGCGTATTGGAGCAATCAGCTTATTGGATGACTGGGAAGGAGTGTGGTGCTCGCACCATTTTCAAGTAGGTTCAACCATACGAGTAGAATTGTTATTTTCCCCTGTGGAAATGTGCTGCAGGAAACCTCTGCCTTCCCTTAGGGGTGGCCTTTAAATTCTAAAAGTACATAAAAAGTTTCACAACAAATTTACAGCAGAAATTGTTATAAAATTTAGTAGTCCAAGTTTTTTAACTAATACATGCAAACTTATTACAGCCAAGTAGTTTCATTTATCTAGCTACTTTTTCGTTTCAAGTATGTAGGCTGGAAGTTCTCGCTGTTTATTGCTTAAATTGACAAAATGATGACTACTTCAACCTCCTGGAGGTTCTCTTATCTTTTTCAACTTCATAGTTTTAAAACGCATTCTAATCTAGTGCAGTAAATGTGTTAAAGAGTGTCCAGTAAAGTATCAGGTATTGTTTATGTAAAAATGTATCCTCAGCTTGTAGCTTTCCTTTGCATTCTTGTCGAATATATTTGGAAATTGCTCTCTTGCTGTCGTGTTCCATCAACAAATGATTGATTTGGTTGGAGGCATTGAAGGTTGTGGGGTAATATTAATTATTAAAATCTGTGAGGGACAAGATGGAAGTTTCTGCCAAGACACCTGCTTCTGGAGATCCAGCTGGGAAGAAGTCATATATACTTATCCTTCCTTTTGTAATTTCTTGTTTTAATTTTCATGAAACCCCTATTTGTTACTCGCAATCTTTTTTTTATTGTTCTTATTCTAAAAGTTAAGTTCATATTACTGGACAATTTTCTAAATATGTGTTGATAAGTTGATTAGGTTGCTAGTCAAGAGACCTACGGAACCTTGGGTGCTATTGTTAGGAGCCAAACGGGCAATCGGCAAATTGGTTTTCTCACTAACCGGCATGTTGCCGTTGATTTAGATTACCCGAATCAGAAGATGTTTCATCCTTTACCTCCCACTCTTGGACCTGGGGTGTATCTTGGTGCAGTTGAGAGAGCCACTTCATTCATTAGGGATGACCTTTGGTATGGCATCTTTGCCGGAATAAATCCAGGTAGGGATGTGCTAATGAAAGTAATACTTCCTTAAAGCTGGTGCTACTGGTTTCTTGCTGTGTATATTTTCCGCAACTAATTTCTCAACTCTCTAACATACCGATTGCTTTTGCTTTCTTACTGCATGATATGCAATGCATGCCTTTGTGAAAAAACACCAGTGAATTGGTTGAAGATTATTTTGGGCATATTTAGTTGATATATACACACAAAATTTGGTCCGTTTGCAGAGACATTTGTGAGAGCAGATGGTGCATTTATTCCTTTCAGTGACGATTTTGACATGACTGCTGTAACTACTTCTGTTAAAGGCATAGGAGAGATTGGAGATGTGAAGATTATAGACTTGCAATCTCCAATCAGCAGTCTTATTGGGAAACAAGTGACAAAGGTAGGAAGGAGTTCGGGTTTGACCAATGGGACTGTATTGGCATATGCTCTCGAGTACAATGACGAAAAAGGGATATGCTTCTTGACTGACTTTCTTGTGGTTGGCGAGAACCAACAGACATTTGATCTTGAAGGAGATAGTGGAAGTCTTATAATTCTGAAAGGGGAGGATGGAGAGAAGCCGCGACCAATTGGAATCATTTGGGGTGGAACTGCCAACAGGGGTAGGCTAAAACTAAAAGTTGGTCAAGCTCCAGAGAACTGGACTAGTGGGGTTGATCTTGGGCGGCTACTCAATTTTCTTGAACTTGATCTGCTCACTACGAATGAAGCGCTGAAAGGTTCGTAGTCCTATCCTATGTGAATTTTGTTGTACACCGTCAGACATCACCTGCATCTGTGCAGTCCTGACGCATGCTAAATGTGAAAGATCCAGAGAAGTGACAACTGTACTCATCTGTGCTGTCATATTACTATTTGTTTTTCTTAGAAATTCCCCTAGTTCAGGGAAGGAGTCTCAATCTCACTCATTCTTTGTGGCACAGTTGCAGTGCAAGAACAAAGAGCTGCTTCAGCAACGGTAGTTGGTTCGACTGTAGGAGACTCTTCGCCACCAGATGTAATGCTCCCAAAGGACAAATCAGAGCCTTTGGGGCTCCGCATTCAACAAATCCCCTTGGAAGATGGTGCGTGTTGCCCAGATATGAATTCATCACCAGTAGAAGCTGCATTTCTATCAGAAGATGGGTCGAACGTTGGTCCAAGTGTGGAACATCAATTCATTTTTGGAACATCGAGCGGGCGTTCCCCACTTCACCGAGATGATCTACAAGATAGGCCTGTATCGGAGAATCTGTCTGCCTTGTGGAATGGTTCCGACGAGGATATCAGGTTTTCGCTGCAATTGGGCGATAATGAACCTAAGAGAAGGCGGTCTGAGCCTTCACCAAGCGCACAAGAGCCAAATTGAGTTTTTCATTGTACTCTCTCTGCACTGGTCCCCTGACTTCTCTCATGCATGCTCGATGGTTCTGTAAAATGCAAACTTTTTGCTCGCCACCCTCGTCGCTTTAACATTCTCCGAGCTGAGAATGGAGTCACTGATAAAAATGCACGGTGAAGCCGGCATCTGTCCCAACAAAAATGTTCAGGACTTGAGAGAACCAATCCCCGAGACCGGGATGACAGTTAAAGAATTTAGAATTTACGTTCAAATTGCCGTACGGTAAATAGATAGATTTTGCTTCTTTCCTTCCAATTTAACAAACGCGTCCCCTCTTTGGTACGACTATTTAAAACATTTATTACGAAAGCATTTAATTCTAATGTAAAATAAAATAAAAAAAAGTCACCTATTTCTTGTAATTGTGTAAAACATTTTTAACAGCGCATTCAAGAAAAGAGAAGATCAATTAATTTGCTTCTTCTAATTTTCTATCATCATTTCCGTAACGTGTGGCGTGAGTAAGTATGCACTTTTTTTTTTTTTTTTTTTGTCTTTTGTGCCCACGTGTGTAGGGGTGGCAATTTTCGACACGACCCGAAAACACGACACGAACCTAACACGAAATTAATGGGTTTGTGTTGAGGTTTCGGGAATTCGGGTCAGAATCGGGTTGGACCAGATGAATCCGAAAAGAAAACAGGTCGATTTCGGGTCAACCCGTGGTGACCTGATATGACCCGATATGACCCGTTTACGAATTAAAAATAATTTAATAAACATAAAAATAATTTAATCTAACTAAACTAAGTTATTCTTTTTTTCAAAGGCATTAATTACTTAATCCTAAATGAATTTATTTAATTTGTGTGAAGTTGAAATTATTATATTTGGACAAATAATATATTATATTATTTTTTACTTTTATATTGTTTTAATTTATTTTATATTTTGTTTGGGATAAAACACTTTTACGGTGTTTAATTTATTTTAGATTTGGTTTGGAATTATTTATTTAAATTTTTATTACTTGATTATGTAATTAGTTTTGTGAGAAATTGATTTTATTAGAAATTACAGTGATAAATTAATAAATTAAAATTAAGTTTCGGGTAATTTCGGGTCGACCCGCCAACCCGTCAACCTGAAATTTTCGGGTTCGGATCAGCATACCTGACCCGTCACGGGTTGGCGGGTCGAGTTCGGGTCAACAGATTTTCTGACGGGTTGATCCGAACCCGACCCGCCAACCTGATTTGGACCCGAATTGCCACCCCTACACGTGTGTATGCTGTATGGAGGAAAATGAATCTCTATAATAATGCATGGAAAAGAGGGAACAGAAAACCAAAACGGAAAAAATAAAAAGAGGAACAAAAGTTTTCCACGTGACAGTGGGCTATATCTGGGCCGGACATAAGTAGTACATGTATGGGTCATTTAAGTGACAAGCCCAAGCTGGAAGCATTTTAGCCTTCCAATGCCAAAGACTCGGCTGGTGTAGCTGAGCTGAACCAAACGTAAAATTCGTCATCCCCTCCCAATTCCCAACCCGTTGTATTTTCTGAGTCTAGGGTTTTTGTTTGGTTTATCTAAGAGAGAGCAATTCCTAAGTCACCGCTAAGTTATGGCGAAACCAGACCGAGGCCGACCGGCTACACCGTCGGGCTCTGGTTCGGGCTCTTCATCACGTTCCCGCTCTCGCTCTCCATCTAGGTCAAGGTCTCGCTCGCGCTCCTACTCCGGCTCCGACTCTCGCTCTAGTTCCCGCTCTCGTTCTCTATCTCGGTCGCGCTCCCGTTCCCGTTCTCTCTCTAAATCCATCTCTTCTTCGTCTTCTCCTTCTCGTAGCGGCAGTTCTCGTAGCCCTAGTCCACCTCCCCAGCGGAAAAGGTCTCCCTCCGCTTCCCGCTCTTTTTCTGTGCTGTATACATACTCTTTTTTTTCCTGCAGAATTTTCAAAAGTTAATGGCTAAGCTAATTTCCTTTTCACTGTCCTGCGTTACTTTGTCAGCGGAAGTAGGAAATGAGGCATACGCATATATTCAATATTTCTTGATTCTTTTCTTCATTGGGGTGAGGGGTTCTTGTACCTTATGCTAATCTTTTAGTTGGATGATAAGTGCTTTTTCATTTTTTTTTTGGGAGGAGGGGGGGGGTTTGTTTACGCCATGTAGTAATTTTACAATCATTTTCTCAATGCTATTTTAGCACTGTTTCTTTGTAGTACGCAATGACTGTCGTGATTTTTTCTGATCAATCTCTTCTGTGCCAGTCCGGGTGAAGGAGCTAGGCGTGGTCGATCTCCACCTCCGCAGTCTAAGAAAGTTTCACCACCTCCAAGGTAATATGGTTTACGCTGTTTAGTTTGGTGGGAATGCAACCTCTTAAAGGCATCATTTTGGGTTTGTCTTGTCACTTTTCTTGGCCAAATGGTCTTGATGTTAAGTATTGACTATCTATTACGTTTTTCACTCGTTCATACTCTTCTTTGGTAATTTTTTTTTTTAAATTTATCTCGGTGCTTCTACCTGAGTTTGATTCACTTTTCAGTTTAGCCCTTTTGAATTGTTTGCTTGGCCATACCAAATGCATTAATAGCCTCCTGTGTGAACATTTTTCTTGTCTTTTTTTTTTTGGGGTGGGGTATCATGTACTGTTTCCAAAATTAGTTATCAATTTGTTGCTCTTGGTTACTCCTTTTTTATATGTGCCACTACCTTGTGCCATTTGGGATTTAGTTACCTAGATTTATTTGTACTTTTCTTTCAAGTATCTTTTTGTCTTCTAATTTTAAATCTGATAAGGATTTCAGGAAAGCATCTCCAGTCCCTGAGTCACTAACAATTCATGTTGATCAGCTCACCAGGAATGTCAATGAAAGCCATCTGAAAGAAATATTTGGTATGGTCGTCACATCTAATGGTGTCTTTCTCTCTTTGGTTGAGTTTTACCACCCAACATTTATTTGAAAAGAGTAGAAGAGAAAAGGGAAAAACAGATAGTGTAACAACCATAAGGAACATTTAAGCAATGGAATGATTTTCATTTGTCTAGTGGCAACGTCATGCTAATTGTTATGTGATTTGTGGCTTATAGGTGGCTAATTTCTTCTGCTCCCTACATTGTAGGTAATTTTGGTGAAGTTGTGCATGTGAGGCTGGTAATAGACCATGCGGTACGTGCCTGCCACTCTGAATTTTGTTTTTGCGGTGCATGACTAATGCTTCTTCCCTTTTAAATGTAAACAATGACCATTCTTATTTACAGGTTAACATTTCAAAAGGTTCTGGATATGTCGAATTTAAGAACAGAACTGATGCTGAGAAAGCTCAGTTGTACATGGATGGAGTATGGATTTCTGATGAATCCTTTGCTAAAATTTGTTCCTGACTAAAAATTTATGTTCCCTGAACTTATGCTGTAATCGGTGTTAATTCAGGCCCAGATTGATGGGAAAGTTGTTCATGCCAAATTCACTTTACCTGAGAGGAAGAAGGTTTCCCCTCCCAAGGCTGTTGCTTCGACATCTAGAAGAGATGCTTCTAAAGCTGATAGTGCTGGGCGTGACTTGGACAAAGACGGGCTGAAGCGGCCAAGAGAAGGTATTCTGGTTTTTTGAAGAAAATTTTTGCTGTTGATTTGTAAAACTAGGTACTGATGATTTATATGATGCTCAGCATCCCCTCGTCGGAAACCCCCCTCGCCACCGAGGAGGAGGTCTCCAGCGATGCGAAGAGGATCTCCTAGACGTGAGCTTGATTCTCCTCCTCGTCGACGTGCAGACTCTCCTGGTCGTCGTAGACCAGATTCCCCTTATCGACGAGTTGCTTCGCCTCCTCCTAGGAGACGCCTTGCATCTCCTGCCAGAGGTCGTTCACCCTCCTCACCTCCCAGACGATACCGTTCACCTCCGAGGTTAGCTACTTTTTAACAGCTTTACTTATCTCTTGTGAGGCTTCTTTGCAGCTTATTCTATGTTGTATCTCGTCAGGGCTTCTCCCCGAAGGATACGTGGTAGTCCTATGCGAAGACGTTCTCCTCCTCCTCCTCCCAGAAGACGGTAAACAAATTTAGTGTCTATCTGGAAGTCTGTTTTTCTCTTGATATGATATGGTTTTGATATAATAATCTGTAAAGAGAACATGTTATCTGCTCCTTTTTTTTTTTTAAATTTGGGGATGCTCTAATGATCTAATAATCTGTAAGGAATGCAAATTGTTGAAACACCTATTATTTTAGTTTTTTCTAAATTGATGCCCAATTGCTTGATGGTATTTTTTCAGGTTTGTTGGGTTGAGGTTATCTGTGTTGAATGCATCTCTACACAGAATTTTAGCTGTCAGGATTAGTATATGTTATGACTTTGATATACATGAGTATTTAGTTATTGAATGTATCTTGTAAGATGCAATAAATGGTTAAGTAAGTGTTTTTCTTTGAATCGTTTTGCATTTCACCTAGTCTAAGAAGTGGCATTGTTGTTAACGAAGCTTTACTGTCATTGGTAGATGGAGAAATTTTGGGGAGGGTACATTGAGAAAATTGAATTCACCATTAAGCTGCTAAGCCTTCTTGAAGTACTAGCAATAGAAGTCAGTACTGAGGGGGAGTAAAGAATCTAAGTCAGCTTCGTAGGGAAGAAAAAAAATTTGTGAATTGTGTTATTCTGTGGAGTTGGACTGAACCATGATTCATGCCTCATAGTGAATTCATTTTTAGTGTAAATATTTTCTTGAGTTTTTATTGGTTATTTTCTAGTTCCCCCCGTCGAGGTCGAACACCTCCTAGACGTTCACCAGTCGGTCGCAGACGCAGCCGTTCTCCTGCTCGTAGGCCTGTTCGTTCAGTTTCGAGATCATTGTCTCCAAGGAGGTGAGTTACGCATGATTTCTTGTACTTTTTCTTATTTAGACATGCTAATCTAATAAGCTGATTTTTTTCCCTTCTTGATTTTCCTTATTTCTTTTGTTGCTATTTGTGGGTAGCTTCTAGAGTAATTGCTGTTACTTTCTGTTACTTTTGATGCATGCAATGTTGAACAGAGGCCGTGCACCCCCTGTCAGACGTGCAAGATCATCATCCTACTCATCATCTCCTAGTCCTCGCAAGGTGTGTGTGTATGTGCCATGTCTTTGATTTCAAAAGTTTGACTTGATCAAATATGTTAGTTAAAGTGTATCAAATGATTCTTGCAGGGGCCCAGGAGAGCATCGAGGAGTCGCAGCCCAAGAAGGTAGTTATTTGTGTTTTTGCCTGTGATAACTTAATCTGAGATTTTCTTCTGCGTTCAAAGTTATTGTTGGAACATTGCATATGAGACTGACTGTTTTATGCTATATATCATTAAGCACATCACCATAGTGAAAGGAGAGGGACTATATTTAGTGTAGTTACTGGTCACCAATATTCATGCCATCACAGTATAACTGTGGTATCAGGTGACTACTTCGATCAACGTCGTTTTACATATATTAAATTTAAGCAGTCGTCAGCTGGCTTAGCTGGAACATCAATGATATTGTACTGTTATTTAAATCCGTGGTAATTTTCTGATTTTGTCTCTCTCTTAGGCCTTTAAGGGGTAGAAGCTCAAGTAATAGCAGTGGAACAAGTGGTTCGCCACCTCGTAAGCCCTGAAGTCTGCAGGGTTGTTTTCTTCGTCACTTCTACCATGCTGTCTCATCTTGTGATGGTGTAAGGTTGCTCCAGAGTACGTGCATGCTGAGGAGGATGGTTGAACCTGCCCCTGTGGTAGCTTTAGGAGGTTTTCTTGTGGTTAATATTATGATCATTGGGTGCGTGCATTAGGCCACTCGTGGGCAGTGGTTGAGTGGATTTTATGTTTAATTTTCATCACTTTTGACAGCTAAGAGGAAAATATGTGTATGCATTTCTATGCGAACTAAAAGCATTTTTCTTGCACCGTCTCGGTACAGCAATTAATTTTCATCCGTGGTAATGTTCTCATCGTGTGGTTTTAAGCGAGTCTTACAGAGTATTGAAGGCCGTTTAATACAATTGATAAATAGATGCACTCTTATATTCATCCCTTAGTCAACCTGATTGCTCGAAGCCGATTTAAAATCCACTCGCAGTATGAGCTTACCCATTTAGACTTTCGCCTCCCTTTTACTGATTGAACAATTCATATTTTTATAAGATAAAATAAAATATTAGTTGATTAAATGAGCATTTTTTTTTGAAACGCAAGTGTATGAGATAAATTGATGAATTACTAACTAATTAATATCTTTTTAAATTCATAAAATATGTATGGTTTTAAAATTATTAATTTATAGAAATTTAACTATAATCCCTCCACATTTGTTTGGTTGTGAAATGAATTTTATTTTATTAAAGAGTTGATTAATTTGAAATTCAAGCTATAATTAATTAATGAGCGTCGAGGGGACTTAAGATCTAAAGAGAAATTTTAAATTTCTCTTTTCTTTTTAATTTTTTTTTTAAGAAAAGAATCTAACACTTGTATTTCTAGATTAGTTTGTCAAACAATAGAGATGTGCATCGTGAACTTTAATGCCTGTCCCTGCATTTCATACCCATTTGTTGAACGCTCCTAAATGGATAAAACTATTGGAATGTTGAGGAAAAACTTCCTTGAGCAGAAAATTTTCAGGATAAAAAAGAAAGAAAAAGAATTGAGCGTAGGATAAAGAAAATTTTTAAAAAAAAGTAGGGCAAAGAAAATTAGAGGGAGGAAGGAAAAAAAAAAAAAGGGAAAGAAGATAAAAAAAAAAAAAAATTTTAGATGAGCCTGTCTTCAACTGGAGAAAAAGAAGAGAATCCACTGATGAACATCGTTTAAGCAGGAGCAGCTTGGTTGGGGACGGATGGTTGAACAATAAGCTTCACCCTATCCTTCGTGATTTTTCCACTTCACTCGGAGTTGTCCCTCTAATCTCTCCCACTCCATTCTTAACCAGCCCTAGATAAATGATTCCTATACCGGTCAGTTAGCTTAATTTCTCTTCATGCCTCCGTATTTTTTCTCCTTTGTTTGTGCATTACTTATGCTTGTATTGATTAATTAGGCGGGCCTCGTTGGATTTTTTTTTTTTTTAATTTCTTCATTTAGAAATGTGGTGCGCAAATTGATTCTTCAGAAATGCTGCTTACAATTCTGGAAATGTTACCATCGTATAGAAAAAGATAATTTTAAGTACATAAAATAAAATAAAATAAGTAGTGTTTATTTGGCAAAACATTAAGTTAAATTTCCTGTTGTTGATATATGCTTATGTAACCAGATTAGATAGAGGGGAATCGGTGATTTTGGTTTTGGGTTTAGCTGGGAATCTGTGTTGGGTGGGTGAGTTCCATGGCAAGTAATGGACTTGCAGCAGCAGCAGCTTTGGGTCGAGTGAAGCTGAGTGATCTTGTACCATCTGAAGGCCTTCCGTCCGATTCTTACAAGCTCTCAGTTTCGACCTTGTCTCAGTCACTAGCTCAGTATTCCGCTGCTATTATCCAACTGCCCGCAAGTGATGCCGCCCTCTTGAGGTCTTGTCTTGAGTCTGCTCGTCTCTACTTCAACCAAAAACCTTCTTACCCTTCTGCTGATGTGATTCACCCTGATGATCTGCGTGAGTGGTGTAAGACCTCTGGTTATCGTGCAGATCCTCAGCTCTGGCAAGAAATATATGATTTCAGACCTGGGCTTACTCCTGCTGACCCGACTAACGAGATGGAATTCGCTCCTGCTGGCTTGTTGGATATATTTGCACTACTTGGGAAAGCAGCAAGAGATATACTGGATGCTATTAGCTTCTTCTTGAACTTGCGTAGTTCTCCTTTTACTGAAATACTTGATAATGTTCCCCTCAGAAACCGTGAAATATCATCCTCGGTGCTCTCTGTTTGTTGTCATGCAAGGCCTTCTTTTCAGGGAGCCCAGCATCATAATTTGACAACCCAAGAGGATGGTCAACTTGTGATGTTTTCGGACCAAGAACATCAGGTTGATCGAAGCCTGATTACTCTAGTCAAGTCAGATAAGGCTGGTTTGCATGTGAGGGATTTCCATGGTCGTTGGGTCCTAGTGGATGGTGATCTCGGTCCCCAGGAAGCTATTGTGTATCCTGGTCTTGCTCTGTACCAAGCAACTGCTGGATATATCAGCCCCGCAATGCATCGTCCTGATATTGGTAATCTACAGGGTAACATATTTGGGCGATGCTCTTTAGCTTTTAAGCTGATGCCTAAATCCATGACCAACCTTAACTGTTCAGAGATGCGAGCTGCTGGTCATGGGGTTGAAGCCCAGTTCCAGCTTCCAGTACCAGTTGATGACTTTATGCAAAGATCCACTGATCAAGTCCTCAGTAGGAACAATTTCCCAACGTTCACTTTCCCCACAGCTCAAGATGGTGAGAAACATCATAATGCTTTGATGTCTCTAACTTTAATGAAATATAATGCAACTATTTTTCTGTTATAGCATGTCAAATGTGTTGAAATTCTGAAAATGTTTCTCATCAATTGATTTACTTCATGACTTGTGTAAATGAAATCGCACAGCAGATTCTTGAATAAGTTTTGCATGCTTTACCCCAGTAGATTCTTGATATGTAAACTTTTACAAGATGTCTGCAACTTGGACATCTTGTGATATTCGAAGTACAGGAAGATGAAATTAAAGATGAATTATTCACCTCTCTAAATACTTATTCACCTTTATTTTTTTATGCAATATGAATTATTTATATCATTGAGGTTTATCAGTTCATGGGTTTTTTTTTTCCTTCGAGTATTTTGTCTTTTCTTTAGTCAGATGTCCCTGGACTTTGGGGACCAAGTCCTTTTTAGTAACTTTCCATGCTCTACTGTAGGCTGCTACAACTAATCCAAAATTACCATGTTGAGGCTTTTCCCTTCAAGTTCTGCTTTAGTTCCAAAATGCCATTATTGCTAAGTTAAAATCATCGGCATATTAAAAGGTACTGCTGTTACTTTGAGAGGAGAGGGCTGGGCAATTCACCTGTAATTTTGCTACAAGAATAACAGTTTGTAACACTATTGCACCCTGTGGATTTAAGTGTGAATGGAACAGGAAGCATAACCTGCTTTACATGTGGTTTCTGCAGCCATTTGCTTTAGCAAGTTGGTCAAAGAAAACCAGATAAACCAGCTCAGAATTTACTGCTGGATTGATCTAGAGCCGTGTTGCTTGCCTTGCATTAATGTTATAAAGCTGATTGTAAATGGCTTGTCAGGAATTTATCTAAATGTAAAGAAAGTGAAACAAGGTAATTAAAATGGACGGATCAAAACAGCAGTCGGAATCTACATTATTTAATGCCTTCACCTTTCAAGTTGGCCAAGAGTGAGTGAGGATTAAAAAAAAATGGGAACTTTGTTTTTTGTTTATCATTTTTAACTTTCACATGTATCATCTTCTTGCCTTTTCTAAGTCAGCATGGAATATATTGGTTTTTTTTTTTGCCTGTTCTGAAATAAGAGTATATTGGGTCACAGTGAATGTTGATGTGAATAGTTGTGATATTTCATGAGGTAGCACTTGCATCTTTTCCGCTTTCCCATTATCTTAGTGAGTAGTTTTTAACAGCAGGTCCTTGGATCGATGAAATGCTGGTACAGGATCTATGAAGCCTATTATTAAGAAGAGGAAGAATAGTTCAAGATGTAAACCTCTTCCACCTTCAAAGAGGCTACGGCTTGAGGCCCAAAGAGTTCTCAAAGAAAGGGTTCAAGATATAGCTGATAAAAAGGGCATCAAGCTGCGGTTCTGCACCCTCAAGGAATGTGAGAACCACATCCACTCACTTGATAGTCCATGCGCAAATATAAGGATGGAGATTGGATGGCCTCCTGGAGTTCCATTTGTTCACCCTCACGATCTCCCAAACAAGGCAAAGATTGGATTTCTTGAAACTTATGAACCTGGTTGGTCTGCAACTCATGATATGGAGTTAAGTCTAATTGAACCTGGACAGCCAAGTCAGCACATGGCTAATTGTAATTGTAAGTCTTCTCAGCATTGTGCTCAGGACTGCTTTTTTTTTTTTTTGATGAGTTAAGTATGGCTAATAAAACTGAGTTTCTATTGACTTTTAACCAATGAATGGCCATTGTTAAAGAGAGGAAAAGTTTATACAGTTCTAGGAGTTTAGAGTCTTCTGGCAACTAGGTTGACATTATTATTATTTTCTAATTGAAGTTGAGAAAGCCTCGTAATTTCTCGCTGAAATATTGGAGTGGAATAAGCATATGTGAACTTTGAGGGCATTTAAAATGGAAATGTGTTCCTTGCATGGATGTATTTGTAGGTACTAATAAAATGTAGCATAAGGGATGGACAGGGAGAAAGGAGGAGGGGTTTTTTTTTTTGTGGGGTGGGGGGAGGAGCTCTTTCACTAACTCTCCTCCATGAAGAAGTCCTATGTACTTCACTTTTTCTCTTTTTTTTTTTTCTCTGAAACAACTTTCGTGAGACTGGCCTTTGATATAAACAGCTCTAGCTAAACAGTGAGTCATGTCTTGTTCTTGCAGGAAAGCATGTTCCTTTTAAGAACGAGGGGACTGTTTTGTGTGCACTCTTTGGGCCAATACGGGTCTGCTTTGAGGGCCTTGGTCCGCTATAGGGGCAGCATGTGCTGATCATTGAATAGGAATTTGAATCTCTGTAAATACATCAATTTTGTTTAAGAAAGGGTTTTTTTTTTGTTGGGGTTTTCCCTTTTTGTACCGTTAGTTACTTCTTTTGATAGTTTAGATCTGCTTTGAAGGTCGCAAGCATCTGCTCCAAAGAAGAAAAAGTATCTGGGAAGGAAAAGGCTGGTATCCTCTGCGATGAAATCTATGATGTCACATGCACATCAATTACCCTAAGAATGTTGGGTTAGAAGTGCCCTCCATTATACGAGACTAAGGGAAAAAATGAAATGCATTAGATTCAAATCATTTCTTTTGCCGTGCTCTATGTTCAA